TTGGTACCTTCTCTGAATCTAGGAGTTCGTTTCTCCGTGTATTTTGTTTTTTAGGTATGGATCCCATATGATTTCCCTTCCATGTGAAATCTAAAAAAAACAAAACAGACAAACAAACATTACTAAAATTTTAACACATGCTATTAACCATGCACTTGTCTCCCCGTGTTTGTAGTTCCTCAGCACTCCTATCACCTTTCTGTTTACAGTAAGGAGCTTAGTGTGTTTTAACTATCCACTGAACTTCCCTGATCTTTCATCTTATAATTGTTTATCTGTAATTTTAGTTTCATTCTTTTTTAAACACAAAAATTAGCATTTAGTTTTTTCAATATTCCATAGTGAATTAAAATTGCAATCATATTTTACCACCATCTAAGTTTACTATTGTTCTCTCTCTATCCCTTTCTTTTGGGTGCAAGTTATTTCTTACTGAGTTCATCTATTTCACCGTTTCACAGAAGGTCTATGACTGGTAAACAATTTCAGTATTTGTCTGTGTCTTTCTTTTGTCTTCATTTTAAAATTATTATCTAAGCCAGCTATAGAATTCCAGGCTAATAGTCATTTTATCTCATCCATTGCATTTTGGTATCAATTGTTGCTGAATAATTTCATGTCAGCCTAACTGGCATTCCTACTAAAGTAATTGGTCTTTTCTTTCTAGTAGGTTTTAAGATTTTCTATTTTAAATTTTTTTATAGATTTAATCCAACATATCTAGGGATGAATTTATTTTTCTTTATCTGCCTTAACACTTGGGGTAACTTTCCATCTGAATATTCATGCTTTGTTTTCAGTTTTGAAAAACGATGAGCTATGTCTCCCTTTACAAACTGCTTCTAGGCCATTCCCTCTGTTTTATTTTTCTGGAACTTCCATTAGAAGTGCCTATCAATCTATATTTTTTGTCTCTTAACTATTCTTTAATACCTCTCATTTCTTTATTTCTTTGTACCGCGTTCTCTATATTTTAATGGTTATTTCAGTGGAAAATTGGAAATGACCTATATATGTCATTTTACCTAAAATTTCTGCTCTTTCATTTCAGCTATTCTCTTTCAACCTTTAAAAAAATATATGCCTTTATAAAGGCCTCAGAAATATAGACTGGCTTATTTCAATAACACATCAGTAAATGTGCTGACCTAGGGATAGAAAGCTCAAGGTTTTTATAATTGATTGTGGAACAAAGACATAAACAGATCATTTTAATAGCATCTGTGTGACAAGTCCTATAAGAGTGACATATACAGGATGAACTAAGGTTAAGGAAAAGGGCATTTGGCTCTACCTAACAAATCAGGGAAACTGGGAGGAGATGATGCTTAAACAGGATTTTAAGAAAATAATAACATTAACAAGGGAGATATGAGTTAAGTGAAACACTCCCAACTACCATTTTCCATTTTCCTTCACTCTCAGCCAATGAGTTTGCTTTTGAGTTTACTGGGGGGGAGGGGGAGGGTGTTATTAGATAGTAGGTGTGTCTTTTATGGCCAATGTGCCTGTTGTTGGTGTTTCGTGAGGCTGTCACCAACTAGCCCACATCTCAAATATTGTTCACACTGCTTACTTGGTTTTCATAGGCACCTTATGTTTCATCTAAAATGACCATTTAATTTATTGTCCAAACGAAGATATTTTTGGAGCAAAAGGGGTAGTGTTAATAATTATAACAGGATAGTAGGCCTAACTGATTATCACAGCTGGTCATTTTATGTGTCTACCCTACCTTGCCTTCGAGACTGCAGGCCCTTACAAGACACATCGTTCTGCTTCTAGTCATTCCCCCAACCCCTCCAGCCTCCCCTCAACCCTAAGCAATCACTGATACATTTTCTGTCTCTATAGATTTGTCTACTCCAGACATTTCAAAGAAATGGAATTATGCAATAAGTTGTTCCTGTGGCTGGCTTTTTTTATTTAGCTTATTATTTCCAAGGTTCGTCTATGTTGTAACACGTACCATACCTCATTTATTTTTATTGTAAAAGAGTATTTCATTATACGGATGAACTACATTTTGTTTATCTGTTAATTTGTTGGCAGACGCTTGGGTTGCTCCCACCTTTTGGTTATTGTGTGTAATGCTGTTATCAAAATGGGTATACAAAAATCTGTTTGCGTCCCTGCTTTCAATTCTTTTAGGTGTGTACCCAGAAGAGGAATTACTGGATCATAGAATAATTATATGTTTAATGTTTCGAGGAACCACTGTTTTTCAGGGGGGGTTGCACCATTTTACATTCTCATCAGCAATGCACAAATATTCTAATTTCTCCATGTCCTCACCAACATTTGCTGTTGCTTTCTTTTTGAGTATGACCATTCTGAGAGTGTGAAGTGGTATCTTATTGTGGTTCGATTTGCATTTCTTTAATGGCTAATGATGTTGAGTGTCTTTTCATGTTGTTGTTGTCCATTTGTCCATAGTCTTGGGAAAAATGTCTATTAAGATCCTTTGCCCACTTTTAAATTTGGGTTATTTATCTTTTTATTATAGAATCTTTTTTAACCTACTCATATGCAGATGTGAATTCTCTATAAATCTGTTGAAACTTGAACTTCAGAGTTTCTTTTTTGCAGAACCCTCTTTTAAGACCCTCAGTGGACTCTAAGAATGTGTTCATATAAGCACATTTTTATAAAATGTGGAGGAAATTGTTTTTAAACAATTGTTAAGACTGCCATCTCTTTGCACTCTGACTTCCCTTCAGTCACACTTCCATTCAAGTTGACTGGTGTTGGGATGGCCACAGACATTTTATATTCATAATTTGGCACCCAAATTATATATCTTTGGGCTTTACAAAACCTGGACCTGTCCCTACTCATATATAATAAATGCTACGTCCTACTTTCCTAAAAGTCTTCTTTTTTGATTCTCAAATGCCTAGTTTGGAATTAGAAACAAAATTCCCTACATAAAATTTTCCTTCTTTGCGGCAAATGTATGCTATGTAAAAATATAATTCTCATTCAGGCATGTGGTGGCCTCTGACTGCTTACAGGGGTTAGTAAACAGCTCTCATTTTGTTTCTCCTCTTCTGTTAGCTCCTGTCATCACCACTCCTCTTGAAACAGTGGATGCCTTAGTTGAAGAAGTGGCTACTTTCATGTGTGCAGTGGAATCCTATCCCCAGCCTGAAATTTCCTGGACGAGAAATAAAATTCTCATTAAGTAAGTATTCTGCCTTTTTCTGGTAAGAATGCCAATGCTGCCTTACGATTTATCTTGACATGAATGCAACCACAGCTCTTGGCAGTATTAAAGTTCACCTTCTATAACATACAAAATGCAAATGTCCTCCCTTTATAAAATGTAAGATCTGGGCTTCAGTGAGGTTGAGGGAATCACTCAAAGCAAAACAGTGATTTAACTGACATGGGGAAGTCAGGGCTATTTGCTTTCTTATGTATCCAAAGACCTAGAACTATTCCTGGCACATGTTAGCCAGCCACCAAGTATTTGTTTAATGAATGAATGAATACTCAGTTAATTTACTTCTATAAATATTTAACCCTTTCTGCTAGTTACATTTGTGTGTGTGTGTGTGTGTGTGTGTGTGCATAATCCAGCTGCTATTTCCCAGTAATTGTGGAAAGACGACCCTATATCTTGGTAATAATATACTTTCCTGAATAACGTAAACCTTATGTTTCATCTTATCAGTAGACATTCCCTTTTGAAAGCATTTTTCAAGGACTCAATCATGCTTTGATTATTGTAGCCTAGCAAAGATCAGAATATGTTAGCTTTATACTACTAAATAAGATTTTATTATTCAGAATTCACTCAAACTTCTTCTTACCTTTAATCTACTTCCTCATTGACCAGTCACCCTTTTGATCAGTTCACCATAGCCAAAGAGTCACAGGTGAGGCCCTCACCTGGCATTTTCCTCTGTGACCTGCAGGCTCTTCGATACCCGGTACAGCATTCGGGAGAACGGGCAGCTCCTCACCATCCTGAGTGTGGAAGACAGTGATGATGGCATCTACTGCTGCATAGCCGACAATGGCGTAGGAGGAGCTGCGGAGAGCTGTGGGGCTCTGCAAGTGAAGATGAGTGAGTGAGAAAGACAATCATCTATTGATTTTAAAGTTGACTAGGTACATTTTGGAGCAGGCAATAAACAGAGCCTCCCACACACCTGGAGGTTCAGAAACTAGACAAGTTCAAGCTCAAAACACAACCTTGAGACAGTTCATTGCAAACCCCTTATTCCCACCATCCACCACCACCCTAGAGGCAAGTCTTAGTTCCTGTCCTCTCCATGTTCTTGCGTTTACAAGCTCTTTAGTTGCTCTACCCGGACTTTCACTGAGGAACCTCCCTCTTAATTTTTTACCCTCTGCCTTTAGAACAGTTCCATTACAACCTAACACTTGCCCTCTTTTCTTTTTTTATCTCTAATCTCTTAACAAACATTTCTTCTACCCTTTTGACTTATTTCAAGCTTGACTTTCTTGAGTGACTTTTCTACTTACATGAAGGCTGTTTATTTTCCCCTCACTTCCCGGCCACAAGGCTTGCAAGTATTCATGGCTGATCTCCTAGCCCTCGTTTAAGCCATCATATTGTGTATTCCTGTGCAAAATCTTTCCTCTCCCAAGGATCTACGCCATCTGACCAACTCTACCCGTCAAGTCACCTACTCACTTCTAGGCACTCCCTGTATTTATTAGACATTGATTCCAGACTTATTACCTTTCTATCCACCCCTACTCTTGCTGTCACCCTAGGGGATTTTACAGTCATTAAACGGAACCACCAGCCACTTCATGCTTACAATTCCTTGACCTCCACAAGTCCAGTGGCGTTTGCCTTAACTCTTTATCAGCCGACCCAATCAATGACCTGTCACCCCTGAAAATGAACTGCATTGAAAGTTTTAGACTCTAGTATTTCACACCCTGAACATGAACACTTATGTTTCCAGCTCTGCTTCATGAGGGAAGCAGTTTCCCAGACTCACTATATGCCTCCAAATAGAAGGCACAATCTTTTTTTTTTTTTAAATAAATTTATTTTTTAAAACATGTCTTTACTTATTTCAGAGAGAGGAAGAGATAGATAGAAAAATCAATGATGACAGAGTCACTGATCAGCTGCCTCCTACACACCCCTTGCTGGGGATCAGGCCCAAAACCAGGGTGTGTGCCCTGACCAGGAATCAAACCACAATCTCCTGGATCCTAGGTTGGTGCTCAACCGCTGAGCCACGCCCGTCAGGCAGAAGGCACAATCTTCATCTGTCTCCTTCTCAGTTAAGAACAGAGTCTACCTCTCTCACTCCCTTACTCCCACTACACACTATCACCAGCATGTGACCATCTCAATTGTTAAAATTCTGGAACGCTTTCACACTGCTTGGTAAAGGGCTGCTTCCTAGGAGAGACTCCCACCCCAAGGTCCCTGCCCCCATCGCTACTCCAACTATCTTAGGGCCTCCCACAGGAGTGCCCTCTCTTAACTTCATTATGGATCCTGCTTCAACAAGATGACAAATTCTGATTCATCAGTGCTCATGGCTTATGTTCTCTTAGAATAGGGAATCCATGAATCCACATTAATACTCAGTTCATTCTTAGTTTACTTTATGTTCAATTTCCCACAAGAGTTTTCACCTCTCACCCAACAGATCCTAGTTCCCTGAAAAGACAGGATTTATTTGCTTTAAACAAAGGTTTAATGCCTAATGCATTATATGTGAATCAGGCTTGCCATAGGGATCAGTACATCGAAACTAGTAGAAGAAATGGCTAACACTCTCTTTGACTGTATTATAGGAAAATCAACCCCTAAGCTAAGCTTTTGCCAGCAGTTATAGGATCACCCAGCTCACAAATGAGGTGTCTGGACATTGTCTAAAAGCAGGCATTCATTGCTGTTGATCTTCTATGTATTAGATTTAATAATTTCTTCCTCTGAAAGCTTGGTGATTAAAAATTAGCTGACATAAACTATTTCTTCTGAAAGAATTAATTTAAGAGTATTTCATAAAATGATAAATTACCCAAGTTTGCTTTGCAGAGTAGTTTAACCACAAATTACATGACAGAATCTGATTAGTGATACATCTGGTTTACTTTCTAGAGGATAAATGTACCTAATTTTTTAAAGTAATATTTAATAGTCAAATGAAGATGGAAACTAAAGGGAAACTCGGTCATAACTCAGAATTATATAAAAAATATAAGCTTAAAACATTGTTTTCAAATGTTTTCATGTCTGTGTCTATGAATTAAGTAATGTTGAACTGTTATGGTGACAGTGTATTTTAATCAATTTTTTATTAACTCTCTTTTTAAAAAATTTATCTTGATTGTTGAAAGTATTACAGATGTCCCTCCCCCCACCCATGCATTGATATCTTTTATAGTGAAGAATATTATAACTTCAGACTCCTAATATGATTCATAAATTTGTGTTTCTCAAGTTATTAATAACACAGAGATAACCTAAAGTTTTAGAAATGACTTCTGTTTGTTATCCACTAAAAACCTGTTCTAGCACTTGGTGAATTTTACACTCTAATATGCCTAAAATTATTCTTAAAATGGATATTTAGAATTAAATAGAAAGTTAGAAACTCTAAGTTTAATAAAGCCATATTGCCTTTTTAATTTTGAATTTTTTTTTCCCTTTAGAACCTAAAATAACTCGTCCTCCCATAAATGTAAAAATAATAGAAGGATTAAAGGCAGTTCTACCATGTACTACAATGGGCAATCCCAAACCATCCGTGTCATGGATTAAGGGAGACAGCGCTCTCAGGGTAAGTGACTGTTATGTTAAAACATGTATATACAACATGCCTTCAAATACAACAATCCATTGCGATCTCAGTTACACACTTACGAACTGTGATTGTAAGATTTTTTCCACATACAACATTTCAACCAAACTTAAATATTTCTGTTCCCATATATGCAAATTTTAAGGCATTGTAGTTGGGGCAGGCTAGGGAACAAAGGGATGGGAACCAGTAGTGTCAGGGAGGAAAAAGGAGGCACAGCAAAAGCAAAGCCATGGGCTGTTTGGTTGGCTGGTTGAACATTTTTCAACACTGAATCATACAGACTTAGGAAATAAAAAAAGATGGAACTAAAACCCAGGCTTTAGACCTGACAAATAGTTTCTGGGAGGAGGGAGAGAAAAGAGGTTTAGAAGAAAAGGAACGAGAACACTTTGGAGTGAAGTTAGAACCTGAAGACTCAAGTCTGATAAACAAGCAAATAGCTTGACAAGTACCCCAATCACGAAGAACCGTCAAAATTGTTACTCACAAGTGTACTTCACACTGCTTTCATATCGTATACCTACATAACAGAATACATGGGGAATACATAGGTAATTATATAGGTTAAAGAACTGAAATACAGTATTAAATCAATTAGCTTTTTAAAATTTAAAATAAAACATGTAATGTTAACTATTTTATGGTAATCTATATACTTCTCTGGCTTTCCTTTTGTCACAAGTACTGGTACATTTCCAACAATAGAAGGGAGGGGTGGCTCATGTATATTATTGAATTGAGAGTCCCAGAAGATAAATGAATATTTTAACTTCAAAAACCAATTTTTGCATTATTTGTAGGACTTTCCATTTCTTTCAAAGGACATACATTCCCCTAACGACACTACATAGGGAGTGCAGTAAATATAGTAGTCAAAAGCAATGCTTTTAATCAAACAGACTTGGATGTGACTTTTAGGAAATCAAATAGGCCTGGTGTTCTCATGTGATGAAAGAAAAGAAAATAAACTGATCTTATGGGATTATTATTGAAATTAATTTAGGTAATCTTGTACTATCTCATTTAATATCATATGTTATACACAATAACTGCCAAATAAAAATGTTCAAATGATATTCTTGATGATAACAATAATGACAATAACTTGATGAAATGTGGCAAATGTGTCCTTGAAAGAGCCATGGGCCTTTTAAAATTCATGTCCCTATCCCTGGCAGGAAAATTCCCGCATTGCAGTTCTTGAATCTGGGAGTTTAAGGATTCATAATGTGCAAAAGGAAGATGCAGGACATTATCGATGTGTGGCAAAAAACAGCCTCGGGACGGCATATTCCAAATTGGTGAAGCTGGAAGTTGAGGGTAAGGAGCCGTATTCCTTCCCCTGAGTGTTGTCAGAGGGCCTCACGTTCTACCGTGAAGGCTGCACTGTAGCTGGCAAAAGCAGAGATGAAGGTAGTCCGGTTCCTTCAACTGTTCCAGGTATTAGACTACAAGGTCAAGACTGTGAAAGAAACAGTTAAAAAGAGCGAGGAAATTTCACTGGAACAATAGGTCATTTATTGCCTACAATTGCTGGTAATTTTGACCAAAACAGATTAAATTCACTATGATACTAAAACAATAGGATACTACTTTAGATTGTCTGACAGGCATGGACAAGTCTTCCTTGTTTATAAATTTGAAGACATTTGCTCTTTTACAGTGTGTAGACATGACTTTTAAAATGTTATCAAAAGAAAAAAATTAGTTTTTTCAAACTGTATTCTGTCAAAAAAGATTGGGAAAAAAAATACTCAGACTGTATAACCAAAACCAGTCTTACTTCTATGAGTTACACTGTAAAAATACTTTTTCATTTTTAAAAGTGTTCTTCTACAGTCAACCAATTCAACAACTGCTTGTGAAAGTCCTTCACTGAGAAATCAGAACTCAGATAGGGCCTTTGTTTTATCCACTGGGCCATTGGACCCTTCTTGACCTAAAATTACATCATGTTCTGCTTAAAAATAGAAACTATCAGCACACCTGCACCAGGTGGGCAAACTGAGTACAAAACTCTTCCCAGCTCTTCCCTGTTACAAGTCATGGCTTTACTGTCCAGGTTCCCAGTGCCTCGCCAGTACAGTGGGGTCTGCTGTGATTGTTCTGTGAGGTACTGAAAGTATTCAGCAGGCCTGCCCCTGCGCAGGCCCTCAGTACGTGCTGACTATGAGAATCGCCAGCTATTTTTCTGCTTTTCTCTTACCTGATTGATAGAGTGGTTGGACTATCACATACTTGGCACAATTACGTTCTAGTGCAACTGGGGAAGACTTTTAGGCTTCCCCATAGCTGACTTTGATTCCATCTTGCTCTTAAGCCAAAATTTACCTTTCCCCCCTCTCTACCTTCTCAGTCACATCGTTTGCTATTATTAGCTCCTTTAAGATTATTTTTATTTCCCAGCTAGATCTTCCCCTTGCAGCTCTAATGATCTCATTTCCCACATTTACTTCTACTCGAGATAACATTTTTATTATGTTATTGCATCAACTGCTCATAAAATCCCCATGAACTCCTCATGAAAATGAATGCACCTGGTGAGCATAGTGGCTGTCAGATGTATAAAAGATGTATTTTCAGCCTAGTTGCTATAATCTAGTATCTTCTAAATAATCAATGCTATATAAAGGTCAGTATGCAACAGCAAGTTGATGTTAAATATTCAGTGAAAAATAAACATACAGGCACACTCAGTTGCACACTTAGACACACTGAATATCTGCCTGGATTCAGTGTTTCCTTGAACTATATGTAGAATGATACAGAATCAATGTTATCCATTTCTATACGCTATCATAAAGATTTACCTCCTCAATATGTGAGCTTCTACATTATCATATATGATGCTGATTTTTCAGGTCACTGTCTCCATACACATTGAAATGATTCTCTTTAGCTTTGGCCTAAAGAAAATTATCAAAAATCTCAATTATTGGAGTCCAATTACACAGTTTGGTTTTACCTTGCCATTCAATTTTGTATCACACCTATCAGCAAAACTTAATACTCTCTTCTTTCTTCCTAACATTTAAATGCTCATCACTGCTTTAATAGTTAATATATGTGAGAGATTTTATTAAACTTGCCAGTATTGAGAGCTGATCATATCATTTAAAGTTATTCTAACAGTAGGTAAGATGATCGATCATTTTATCACACATATCTACTTCTACTCCATTCTAGTCCAAATAGGATGTATCCAAATAGTCCATGTAGCCCTGGCTGGTGTTGCTAAGTGGTTAGAGCATCAACCCCCACACGGAAGGGTTGTGGGTTCAATTCCTGGTCAAGGGCATGTACCTGGGTTGCAGGTTCAATCCCCGGCCTG